TGGGGTGGGGACTTCGGGGAAGGGGTTGGAATAAGGGCAGGGAAGGGGTGGGAAGAGGCAGAGTGGGGGCTGGGCCAGGGGCAGCAAGGGTGGGGTGTCAGTGATGCAGGCCTTGGGCCAATGCACTAGTTCTCATGTGGCCCTTGTGGTCATTTGAGTTTGAGACCCCTGATATAGAGCTTCCCATTTTCAGTGGTAAAACATCTGCCTCACAGAGATGCCCTGAGGATTTACATGTCAGCAATCTTATATCCATAATTTGTATGGGGGAAAACAGACACTAATAAGTAATTTGCCAATGAGGCTAGAGGACTAGGCATGCAACCAAGGCTTCAGCCCTGCATTCTAACCTTGTTTGTCCCTATATACTCATCATACGACCTTTCAGAGACTCAATTTCCCCACCTCATTTTTAAATGTCGGTAACAGTGTTTTTCTCACTCAGTGATAATTTAAGACTCTCAAACCCTTATATTAGGGGTTCTGAAATCCTTGAACAGAAGGCATTATGTAAACAGAGGACAGACTAGAGGATCACAGTGGTCCTTTTGGGCCTTAAAACCTATGAATCTATTTATCGGACAGCTGCAATTAGAGCGAAAGAGTTCCTGGTTCCAATTTCAGATCTCAGTCCATTGGACCTCACTGCCCCAACAGATTTTTCCTCCTCACCTCCCTGGCAGCAGTCTCAGTGCACACTTTTAACATCAATAGCCTTCAAATATCCCAAAGCACACATACCTTTGATTTCAAGCTTCCTGAGGCACACATCAAACTATGTATCAGGAAACCGGCTCATGGGATGCAGGTTCCGAATGTTTGCATAAACTGTAGGTAACTATTAAGCCTCTGCCAAACTGCCCAATTCAGTTCAGAGGCACTTGCCCTCATTAAGGCCAACAGAATAAAACAAGAATGGAATTTCTACGCCAGGCCCTTTGACATATAAGCCAAATAAAATTAAAACGTCTCATCAAGAGCCAAATTCCACTTGGCCTTTATGCAGTGCAGGGAGGGAGTAAGGAACCATTTAAAGGTCTGCACAAGGCCTTGACAGTGCTGTAGTCTCTGGGCCGTGGGGCATATAGGCACTACTCCCTTACAACTATTCTGGGGGTACATGCTGCACCCCAAAAGGGGTGACGATGGGGTATAGAGCAGACACATCCATTACTATCCCTGCTACATATATGAGCGTAGCAGCATCTATGTTCTGGTGTACCAGGGAGCTCCTGAAGGCATCCTGCCTCTGTGCTCCCTTTGGGACATGACTAAATGTTATCTAGGGTTGCCAGGTATCTGGTTTTCGACCTGGTCAAAAAGAGACCCTAGTGGCTCCGGTCAGCACTGCTGACCGGGCCGCTAAAAGTCCGGTCAGCGGTACAGCAGGGCTAAGGCAGGCTCCCTGCCTGCCCTGGCTCCGTGCAGCTCCCAGAAGCAGTGGCATGTCTGGCTCCTAGGTGCAGGGGTGGCAAGGGAGCTTTGTGTGCTGCCTGCACTAAGAGCACCGGCTCCACAGCTCCCACTGGCCAGGAACCATAGCCAATGAGAGCTGCAGGGGTGGCTCCTGCAGGCGCAGACAGCACGCAGAGCCCCCTGACCCCTCCACCTAGCAGCCGGACATGCTGGCAACTTCTGGGAGCTGCCTGAGTTAAGCACCTCCCGGAGCCTGGAGAAAGTACATGCCAGCTCAAGCCTGCTGCTGCAAAATGACCTTTTTAAACCACCAGCTGCACGTATGCAGTCACGTCACCCATTATGGTCTCATTCGCCACGCCAGGATGTTAGGGCAGAAACACTCTGGCGAGAGGACTGGATATCTGTTATAATCCCCAACCAGTCCCTTGTCGCCGACCCCACAATCTCCCTGCCTGGTTATGAGCTGCCCCATTGTCAGTGGTCCCTGTTGAACAGGTTCTGGATCGGGCAAGGTCTCTGTGCAGCCAACCAGTATCACTGGAGCCTTTGTGACAGCCCTTTATGCAGCTGCGGCGCAATACAGATGATGACGCACATTGTTGATGAATGCCTGCTTACTAGCTTCAGCGGTGGCGTAGAAGAATGGCATCACGCCACTGAAGATGCCGTCACTTGGCTAGACGACTATGCACATGCTAAATAATTAAGAGACAGGATCAGTTGAACGGATTTTATTCGAGTGTGGCACATTAAATTATCCCGAAAGGTGCTGAAGGAACATTGCCTTGTACATTAGTAAGCCCTTTCTGACGGCATTTATTTGGTTGTGAAACTAAAGGATAATAAATCAGCTCTTGTCTGCATCTCAAAAAGACAGGGTTTCTGAAGCACTATTCATGCCTAACTTGCAGCAAATAAACAAATAAATTAAGCCCTTATTTGTTGGTAAAATTGAATCCTGGCTCAAACCAATCCCAGAATCGTCAAAAAACTTGCCTGGGGAAAATTGGAGTAGTTAGAACAGCAAGCTGCTGGGTCTTGGAGGTTAAGATCTGCTCAGAGTAGCCACAGGGCTAAAGCAATTTTTGTCTCTCTGCAAGGGAACCATCACATTGCTTAGGACGCCAGAAGTGTGAAGAAAAATGAAAAAATACTTTTGTTTTTACATCATCTACTGACATGCAAACTACAGGAAACATGGATATGTGAATCCGCCTGTTTCTGAGCCAGACTGCTCAAAAAGTAAAGCTGTAGCATGAAGACACTAAGAAATGCTGAGTTAATCCTGGTGATAAATGCCATGAAATATTTTAGGACTAACCTGATCTCTGTCTTTTATATTTCCATTTGCTAAGTATGAAGTCTGTAAAAACATTTTCACATTTTTAACTTCAAGAAATAGTTCACCGCAAATTCAGCACGTGACACGTTAGATTCAATATGCATCATGGACCCCCTGAATTATGTGGCACTGCCTTTCCAGGCTTTCTTCCCCTCTAGTCCAGCTATTTACTTTGATATTAAATTCAATATATTTTATGGTGTACCAGAACTTTCCATTTTAAATGGATCAGATTTTTGTACTAAAAACATATGTTGGCATTTAAATTATCCTCAGTAGACTTCAAACTCAACAGCCTCATTGAGGTGAATGAGAGAACTCAATTTAAATTTCTTATATGGTTGGACAACGATCTCCACACCAAAATTCAATTTCCTCTAATGCTACAGTCCTGCAAAACCCGTACTTCATCTATTACAAGTATTTATAGAACATTTATCATTTGGATGTCTAAGCGCTAGTCTCTCTCTCCAGGACCATATTTTGTATTTGTGGTGGGAAAACTCCTAAAGAAGGCATGGTCTAATCAAAAGTGGATAGATTCACACACAGTTAAGACATATGCTAACAGGAAAATGGGGCAAAGGAGAAAATTCTGAGTCTAGGCTAATGCTGACTGTAACTGGAATAATTTGTGCTCTACACAAGTACAAGTACAAATGCTCTACGCTAGGGAATGTCTGGCTATGCGTGACTTACATTTCTCAGATATAATCTAAAATATAATGCAAAATGTTGCATTCAGAAACACTGTGTAAATTCAACAGTCCTAGGAGGATTTTTAAAATTTCAGACTTTTGAGATGGACAAAATGGATTCTTTTTAGTTGTTTTACAATTTATACGTGTGTACTCATTGAAAAGGAAATTAACCAAAATAAGTCTGAGTATAGCATTTTGTAACATAGCATGCCTGTCTGTGAAAAAGAAGGCATGCATGCAATGTTTTCATTATGAAACAACATTGGATTTGTCACTGCAAAACCCAGCACCATCACAACAGAATATAGGTAAGTTACTACATTTGTAAAGCACATGTGATATTCATAACATGCACAAAAAAGGATACTGCAACATACTCAGAAAATTTTCAAGCTGTTTTAGAGACAAGAAGTACAGTCACCAAATTATTCAGTTGAACTGAAGACACTGACAAGACACTAGATTGAAACATTTTTAACACAACTTCAATCTTCCTAAAGAGAGAACTTTGCAATAACTCATATGCTACCACAGAAAGCTTTCAAACTACATGCTGGACTCAGAAGGAACAAATTATTGAATGAACAATGATAATTAAGGAGCCAATCTGTAGAGCAAGTCAGATTTGTGGAAGGGCAGCGTTGCCAGAATGTTGAAAAGGCTTGGTGGCCCTCTCTGTGGTCAGATATACCAACATTTTTGGTTTATATGCATGATATAGAGCCAACATGAATATAATGATTGGTGAAAGGCCTATCTATTTTCAGAGGTGGCCTCCTTTTCTGCATGTAAAATTGTTCACATGTATATTAGCACCCGAACACTGTAGAGATAAAGACGTGTGCATACACTTTAAAGAGAATCCAAACACGCATGCGTTAGACTAAAATGCAGACGTAGCTGTATGTGAGCAACTAGAGATTGGGTACAAGCCTGGTTAAAATATACCTCAAGATTGAGGATATATTTAAATTTCTGAAATCAAAAGCTCCAATTCAAATAGGACATTGGGTAACGAGGTGCTAAGAACTGCCACCAAAATTAAGATGGCTGTCAGAGCAGCAGCCATGAATATAGTGCTTATAGCTGAACTATGATGCTAGGGTAATTATTTCAGAAGACAGTTTATATCCTGACGGTAAGTTCCACATTTTATATTTAATGATCTATCTTAACAAGTTGATAGATTCTCTCTCTTGGGCTCTGACTGAATTTCCCCACTGCCACTAGTCAATTTAGGAATTGTTAAGAGTGTGGCAAGCTTCAGGTTTGATTTTCAATAAAATAATGATGTAATATAAATACACCACACTTTGTTTCCAATACCTAGTTTAGTATGAGATTAAGCAATAGATTTTACAAATTATTACACATGCGTAGAAGCCTTATTTATAAATTTCCAGAATTAATTCAGTCTGCACACAAAATTTACTATAGAACAATTGGACAAGAAAATGTGTTACATTAAAGTGCTGACAGTTTTAAAACAATATTTCATAAATATTTCTAGCAGGGCCAAACTTATTTGCATTACTTACTGGAATGTAATAGATGTTCATTTTAGGGTCTTCATTGGCCGTCAGCAGCATTCCTAAAGAGAGAGACAATTACATGGTGTAAACAATGGCCATAAAAGACTAGCTTATCTATTTTATTGTTTTATTTAGAAGTGTTTTAAGAAAATAGGTCCTATTCAATACAAAGCAGATTTGTACATCAATTCCATTTCCCTTAAATTATTTTTTCCTAAAAATAAAATAAAATAAAATAAGACTAAAAAGGAACAGTTATTAGAATAGCAATCTGAGTAAACATGAAAGATCTTTGAGGAAAAAAAAAGTGTTAACTACAGCATATCGAAACAGAACTGATTAGGACTTGAATAGAGCCTGTCAACTGCGCCCCAAGTAAGTTGCTTATCCCTGCCTCATTGCCCTATTTAAAAAAATCCCATTATTGCTAATACTGGTTCATCTCCACTGATGTGAGCACTGTTATGAGCCCCACTGTATGTAGGCTGCCAGGGGCTGCTACGGTCCTCTCACTCTGCTCAGAGGGCGTCTAATTAATACTGTGCTTAACTTGGTGGTCAGCACCAATGGAGATGAAACAATGTTAATTCTGGGGTGAAATTTTTGAAAAATTTCCTTCGCATTGATAGGGTCCTCATCGGTAGCAATTTTTAGTTTCCTGTTACTTGGGGATCTATAGACCGTCTCAGTGAAGCAACTGCCATTTACAGTATTGGTGATGGCCCAGAATACATCATTCTGGGAATCAAACGTATGGTCTGAGTACAGAAGTGGGAGCCAGGATCTTGTGACACAGATGTCAATTGTATTTATGATATTGTTGAACAAGCCAGTTTATCACTGTACCTCAATTTGTGCAACTTTAAAATGGGAAATACCTACTCTTATAGAGGAATTGTGCAAACTGAAATGCTTTGAAGACAAGAAGAGAGGTACAAGTGTCAAGTATTATTAAATCTAAGCAAACCTAGAACTGGCAACAGGCTCTGTACAAACTTGATGTGACAAATGATATGCTATACTCCCCTCCCTCCCCCTCCCCCCCCAAACTAGTAGGTAAGGACATTCAGCATATATTTCTGCATTTATGTCATTTGACTTTCCTACATAAATGACCTTTAAATAATACAAATAAGAAAAAGCATGAAGGGGAGTGTGTGTTGTGTGTGGGGGGGGGGCAATCAATTTAGATAACTTTCTGACCTAAAAACATTCTAAAAGATTCCACTGAGACTATGAATAATGCAATCAATCATCATGTAGCCAGAGGGGAGAAATACAATTTATACCCAAATAGAGGCACACAATTAATATGGGTGGGGATAATCCCTTCCAGACAATCCCTTTATTAAAAATACACAATGCAGTTGGACTCTAGAAGACCAAAAAAGGGCTGAATATTTCTGGAACACCAAGAGAGTCACAGTAGCAAGGTTAAAAACCAAGTGCAGAAAAGTTTACGGGCAACCTAAACAAAACCAGAACGATTTATGGTTATTTCATGGATTAACAGTGCCTTGGAGCATTAGCATTTCACTACCACTAGAAAAGGAAAAACCGTTCATTCAGTGAACAGGGAAAACCCCAAAGACAGAACGGTAGAAGCAGTTTACCAATTATGCCTAATGCTTCAAAGAAGACAGTAAAGGTAAGCATCTTGGGAAGTTTCCACCAACAATTAGAGGAGGAAACTGTCTCAGGGACAGTACCTGGGTGTATACCACAGGGGAAATTTGAGAAACAGAAAAAGAGAGTCTTGATCAAAGAAGTCTCCTATGCATGTTTCTGCTGTCTCAGCTTGTTAGCCTTGACCATCTTTCATGAGAACAGAGACACACCTATCAAACCACAGACCAGACTAATCTTCTTATATGCAAGAGATTTCACAGACTGGAATAAGCAAGAACTCTCTTTTCAATGGGAAGTATTAATTTGGAGCCTGTTTGAAAAAAACAAGTTCTTTAGAAACTTGCAGTGAACAGAAGCAGATGGGGCAGAGAGACTTCTACTCAATGGAAATATGATTATGTCTCAATCAATATTATACACCCAAAAACTTAGTTAACACAACTTAGATAACGAAGAGTTAAGGTTTCAGAGTTAAGGGTGGCCAGTGGTACCTCATGCCCTCCAAAACCGTGGAGAATGGCCGAATATAAACCTCTGAAAACCAGGAAGTACAGATAAGGTACATGCCAACTCAACCTTAACTCTGCACCCCCACCCCCGAGATGGCAACAGTCACTGGGAATTATGTGCATGCGTTCCAGCTGCCTTCATTATGTTATGAGAAGTTGTATCGAGTGGCGGAGGGATTAGCTGAGTAGCTTGGCAAAACTGTGATTGTGATTTAAGGAGATATACAGAAGGAGTGATCTGAGCCTCTCTCCAAGGCACCCCCTGTGTGTGATATAAAAGGAAAGAGGTGCATGTGTAGCCTGAGGGACGCAGTATGCCTCATTTCAGCACTAGTTCTGAAGTTGTGTGAGTAGTGGTGCATAGGGGCCCTTCTTGCCATAGTGAGGTGGGATGTGAAAGTGGTCTGTAGGTTTAATGATGGGTAAATGAAAGTACAGTGTTTGATGAAATCCTGTGCAAAAGGACAAAGGGATTGTACACTTTAGCAAGTTTTTTGTTGTGTCTGTGGAGAAGGCTGTGTTTGAGTGCAGGGCAGGTATAGGTAGCTCCTGGCTAGTACCCCTCACCTGAATACAAGTTTTACTTTAGCAAACATAAAGTATTAAACTCTGTGCTACAGTAATCATGTGCCCTGTTCCCTGAGTGTTCTGCACTAACTGCAAAGGCAGATTGTTAGTAGGCATATTATGGGCACATTGGAGCATCACTCCAAGGGCAGAGTTAAGACTGCAATGGATTGCACCTTAACTCTGCTTCCTAGTTTTCAGAAGTTTGCATTACTGTAACTCTATTTCCTGGTTTTCAGAAGTTTAGCCAGCCTCCATGTTCCAGAAAGGTACGAGGCTCCACTAGGCAATCTTAATTATGAGGTAATGGACGTTGGGGACATTTAATTTCCTTGTTTTTATAAAAAAAATTATTTCTCAGCATCCCCATGTACCACAGGCCAGCACTCCCTTTGCACTGCCTCTGGATCCCTGTCAACAATTACACTGGCCACAGAATGCACTGGCTGCTTGTTAATCCCTTCACTCCCTCTGTGCTATCTTCTCATTGTCCGTCTCTGCTGTCCAAGATGGCCTGGTTCTCCCTCCACAAGAGTCCTCCCGTGGCGAGCCAGGTGTCAGGGTGGGAGCTGCAGACTGAGGAACTGGGGAGAGGCTGCAGGAACAGTATAGGTACTAGCATGGAGTCAGTGGGGACATTTTCTGAGGGGAGGGACAGATACTCCTTGCCGCTCCCCATCCTGGACTCAGCACTGTATACTTGGTGCATTTTCCATGCATGCTTGTTCTCAGCTCACCACGCAGAGGAACAGGGTCCTCCCACCCCCTGCATCCTGGCACACACATGGGGACAGAGAGAGGAATTCAGATCCTCCAGGGGAACCATGGTCCCCGCAAATACCAGGTCACATGGGGAAATACAGAGAGGGGCAGACTCCCCTCCCAACCCACATTCCAGCACACACATGGGGGGAAGGAAGGCAGCCTCAGATCTCCCCAGATCCTGGCACACACAGGGGAACAGGGAGAGGGACTCAGAACACAGAAGGGGAGAATGTGAAGCTGACAAGCCTCCAACCTCTAATCCCCCACCCACTTCCTGCCACCCATCCGTCCTACCATCCCTAATCCCCACTCCCTCCTCTTGGCCTGACACCCACAATCCCTTGTCCCTACCGCCCTTCCATTTATCCCCCTCATCACCTAGACCCCTCTCCTCTGCCCTCTCATCCCCCAGACCTCCAGCAATACTCCAACATCCTCCTACATTCCACCTTACTGCTCTGACCCCTTGTATTCCCTAGCTCTGCACCAACAAAGTTATAAGAATCTAACAATGTTATAAGCACCTTGTATGAGAGGGCTGTGTATCAGGTACACCTTGATCAAATGATCCTGCGACCTGGTTTCCTTTAATGACACTCAGTTTCATTGTTCAGGAAACATGATTACATTATCCTAAAGGCCTTTCATCTTCCTTCCAGTTAATCAATGCTAGCACTCTGCTATAATAATCCCCAGGTGGAAAAGTAGCAAGTACCCAGCAATTACTCTAATATATTTACGCAGGGCACGTGTAATTGATTATCATTCAGAAAACAGAGCTCCTTCTAAATTGACTGGGCACATTTCCCAAAAGTCAAAAAACCCTTAATAGAGACAGAGACAGACAGTAGCAGTATGCCTACAGATCATTCTCAGATTCCTGATAAGGCTAGGGTTTGAACTCTCAGTGCATGGGTGTAGCTCTGTTCAATAACCACAGCATCTTCTCTTGAGCTACCCAGATACTGTCAACAAGGTGTCTGGAAACCCTCTAGTCCTACTTTTGCTGCACATCTGTATTTCAATCTTGTTGACTTGATAGTTTTGGTATGTGCCATTCTAGAGACTAAACTCTTCTTTAATAACTTCGTCAATATTGCTTCCCCAAAGAAGCAATGGGTGCCATGCACTAGGTGAGATAAATACAGACTAAGATCAGTTGGAGGATGATCAGAGATGTAGGTAGAGTCCCAGGTGTGCATGCAAAAAATATTATAAGAACCAGATTTTGTAAAATGCTGTTTTTTCCAAGGGGGCTGTATCTCAGGAACCCCTTACTCTTCTGAGCCCAAACAAGGACAACTAACACCACCTACACCTCTATGAAGCATAGTAAATTTCAAGATAATCCAAGTAGACATGCAGATTATAAAGTGCACCTGAATCTTAACTATAGCAGAGCTGGCTTGCCGTATAACAGGCAAGACCAAACTGAATTGTAACACAGTATTGTCATCGTCATGACTTAACACGCCAATGACACAGCAGATTTTACTGTGAAAACAGTCAGTCCTCTTACCCTCCCGCAAAACAATAGTGAATCAAAGGATATGCCTGCTGCCAAAGAACCAATCTGACCAAAATTTTCAAAAATTTGTTTTGTTTTTCAACAACAACAACAAAAAACTAATAAAAAACCTTTCATTTGAGATTCAAACATTTAATTTTTTGAGATTCCCCCACCCATCTAACTTCCCACACACACTGAAAAAACGTCTGTGGGAATGGAGAATTGACAGAATGGGAAAATAAATTATTCCTTTTCAAAACAATCAAAATTGTCGGTTTTAAAATGGGAAATTATGACAAAACCCAAACGTTTTAAATGTGTGTTTTTGTTTTTTTTTTGTCAAAACACTGACGAAAAAAAAACTTGTCCAGTTCTGAAAAGAAAACTTTCCTTACTCAAATTAGGTCCTGGCCTGGACACAGAGCTAAAACCACTACTCTTATGAAAAATGGCATGGGATTTTCAATGGCCAAAAGCAGCTGATCCTCCGAATGACAGTACAGTGGCCTATAACCATAGTGTCCACTGATTCATTACCGACTCAGAGGAAAGGAGGATACAAATAAGACCACACTAAGCTCCATAAAAAGTCTACCAACCAAAGTCAACCAAGCCTGACTCTCCATCACTATGACAGCTAAGGAGATCACAGCCTAAGGCAGGAGGTGCTTTACCTGTTGAATGTAATAGGTATTTAGGGTATTTTAAATACCTGAATTAGGATAAAGGCAGACATCATTGATATCATGTTCTGGCTCCATGGAAGTAAATATTTTCCCCTGAAATAGTAGGAAGAATACATTAGATTTCAAATGATGCAATTACAAAGTTCAATAAAACAAACCGATTAAAAAGTAGCCCTTATGGAAATTAAAAATATAGTGGAAGAGTACAGCAGGCAAGGCATGGTACAAACAAGGCTTTGCACTATGATGGCAAAGGCAGCTCAAGGAATTCTACATTGTAGCCCCTGGCTGACCAGCTCTTCAATAAGAATATGTGGCCTACCGGTTGCTCAACTCAAAATACAACACTGCATGCTGGGACTTGTAATCTCCCTTTTGGAACTGCTGCATTGAAGATGGGGATGTCAGCAATCTACTCCATTTTATTTAAGTTGGATGGGGCCCTCAGGTTCAAGGCAAATTGCCAATGTAGCCCTCGTTTCGGCAAAGTTTGAATGTGCCAGTTCTATGTAGTCTCATTTTAATAAGTAACCCATCTATACTAGAGAGCTGAAATGACAGGTTGGGTGTGGGCTTTGGTTCTCCCACCCTATTCTTGTGTGTAACATAAGGCATGGCATAGCACTTTACACTACCTGTAATTTATTAACGTTGTATTAAAGAGGTCTGAATAAAAGGATCCAGTGGTAAGTAACTTAGAAAGACTGGAATAGAGGTTAATAGTGATTTAATAATGATATTAAAAGTACGCAGTTTAAGGATTGTGTGTCTCTTCAGGAATTTGACTCGATATATCAAGAAAAAAGAAAAAAAAAAAAGACACATCTCAGTTTACAGCCAAACTACTATAGTGAAGTAAGACAAGAGGACACTATTTTAAAAAATATCCAAAGTAACAGAACAGGAGAAATAGATAAACAGGAAACAATGCTGCACAACATTAAGAAAAGGGTAAGATCTGTTGTTGAACAACCTTTTCAGTTCATGTTGCTACACATAATCCCACTGATAGGCAAGATATGCATTAAAATAATTTTGTGACCCAAACTGTTGGTTTTTTTAATGAAGTTTTGTTTTTAAATATTTTAAAATGGATCCCTTTACTGACAGCATAGAAGGAATGAGCCTCTGCCTGTTCTAACAAATTGACATAGAAGGATGCCAAACCTGCTTCTTAATTACACTGAGGTGAAAACTAGGTATACAGTATATTCTGGGTATAATCTTATATCATAAATAGCCATTTAAAACCACTTGGCATTTATACAATGCCGTTCAGTTGAGGATCTCAAATCCTCAACCATGAACTGAGATACATGAGTGATATATGCCGATCACTTCACCCGTAACTGAAAGACAGCCTGTTCTTGAGTGGAACGTGATTTGTTTAACAACGCATAGCAACACTACACATCAATTTAGACAAAGTGAAGAAAACCGTATGTAGAATCTACAGGGGGAATTTAGCTAGGAAGAATGTGATTACCAATTAGAATGGTGCCTGGACAATGAAACTACCGTGTGTGGCAGGGCACTGAATGAGGGAAGCAGTTGATGTCCGTCTCCATTTTCATTATAGAAACATCAGCAAAAAACACACTGAAACATAGCGCTTGAAATTCTAATATATAAAAATATTTCAAGCATTAGGTTACTACCAAAGATGCGGATGTCTAAAGGCAAAGGATTTGCTTGAAAATGTAGGAATTCAGTCCCTTCTCTGCAAGCACCTCTCTCCGACTGCACAGACTACAGGGTCACTCGTTCATAGAAAACTTTCCCAGAATAATTTTATGATGACTGGCCCTTTGAGTTGGACAGAGAAAAGCAGCTGTAGCCCTGAAATAGCCATTTGGCACCCACTTGGTTCATACTCTTCCTTGCCAGCTTGTAGTTATTCCTATTATTCTTTCCCTTTCTGTTATCATTGAAGAAATGGCACATCTACTCCTACTCACCTGAAATGTGCCAAGTGAGCTTTAATGACCACAATGGTCAGAACCTGTTTTGCACTGAATCCAGAATTATTGCGCAAATTTAGAGGGACTCAGAAGCAAGACTATTTTAAGAGTGGGAAAACCCAGACAGCACAGATATGTTTGCTTATAAAAGCACCTAAAAGACAGCCAGTAAGAAAGAAGCCTCTAAGACTTAGGCCATAGTACTAAAAGCATGATCATACACGTCCTCAGTGTTCTAAAATGAGGGACAAAAGCAGAGCAAACTTGGATCCCATTTCTCGTCTCTTCTTCCTTCCCTGCAGCAGTCGCACCTACCTCCCAGGCGAATGCTGTTACCCCACCCACTTCTGGTCTTTTCCCTGATGATTAACAGAAGAGCATTCTCCCACCCCCATCTCAGCAGACAAAAGCCTCCCGCTCCCCACCTGAAGGCACGTCTCAGCACGGGGCTACTCTGGTATCAAAGCCAGAGACTCTCCACCCCAATCTCCCTCTGCACAGCTGGCACTCAGCCAGAGATATTCAGGAACCAACATCTGGTGGAGGTGGGGCCAGTTGGCACCCACTCTAGGAAAGAGTCCAAACCCAGCGCTGCCTCCTGCAGTAAGAAACTCTCTCTCTTCCCACCTCAGGAGCCACCTACTAAGCTTTATGGTGCTTAACTGTCGTTGAGAGAAATGTATGAAATTAAGAAAAATGGAGAGAGGCTAGCACTGGTGTTTACACACTAGTCAAGGATTTATCAAGCCTTGTAACTAACTATACAGTTACTGCAAAGGGGCTTGTTACCAACCAACCCATGTGTGATCATAGAAAATTGTAAGAAAGCTGGTGAACCTAAAAGGCCTCTCAGTGTTTGTAAAGGCAAGTAGTTTTCCTGTGGTGGAGAAATAATAGTGCAACCCTGAAACTGACTGAAATAGGCTATAAAGCATTTGGAAACTACTAAATGGGCTGTGACTTCTCTTGATAAAGTCCATCATCAAGTCAGAAGAGGAGTACAGGAGCAGAACAGCTAGTGAGTCATTGAGGACTGTAATGCAAGCACTTGTAAGAGAAAAACAGCAAATAATGCAAGACCCTGAAATGAAACTAAGTTACAACAGCGCTATTATGGATCTGCTAATTTGCGCATAGTAAATTCCATACAGAATATTAGTATGAATGCACAGATTAAGACAAAAAGAAAAGGAGTACTTGTGGCACCTTAGAGACTAACCAATTTATTTGAGCATGAGCTTTCGTGAGCCACAGCTCACTTCATCAGATTCATATCACTTCATCATAAGACAAAGATTGTCACACATCCAACAAACATGACATCTCCTGCATCATATGGATATTCAGGCTGAGAGCTCAACTGTATCTCTGCCTTTTAAGCTTATAAGGTTAAAAAGATCTACTGTAAATGAGTCAGTTAATGCAATATATAACATATTGCACATTGCAATTTGAATGTAGGCTTAATTTCTCCTTCTTTGTACTGGCATAGTTATATAAATATAAGCATCTGACTCCTTGAATTACAGAATGTTGATCACAGGGGTTAGAAATGAATTAAGGGCATTTTGGGCAAAACAGACTTTGTGCCAAAAGGACAGAGGAAGGAAAACATTTTGTGTTTTGTTTTTTTTACATCTCACCAATTTTACATATGTTTTAGACCTTTACTTTTCTTTAAAAAAGGCTTATAAGCAACTATATAACTGCTGAAAACAGTCTGTGCATCTGAATACACAACAGCTTACTGAAGATTTTCCCAAGGCTGTGTTTGTAAAGTCAAACAGAATCTAACAATACTAAGCAAATTAGGATACACAAAAAAACCTCACTATATTGAAATGCAGACATAAGACATAAGTTCAAATCACGAACAAAATTAAGAAAAATAATTTAATAGACTTACTGTGTCCTTGTTCCACATTTTTACGATTCGTGAATCTGCAGATATTATTAAATCTAATGGATCCTGGAACTGGATTGATTTAATAGGCAGGCCATATTGGTGATCTTTGACTATTAATGGATTACTGGATCTGAGATCATACAATAAAACCTGGAAAAATAAAGACAACAGGAATGCCCTGTACTATCTAATCAAGAGGGTTCAACCTAGACCTGGCCTACTCTCAGTGTTGTACCCGTTAAACTAAATTTGTACAACATCACCTTTAGGTTAAACTGGTACAACTTTTGCATTTAGACAAGTCTGTAAAAATATAACTAAGAAGCAGTTGAAGTTCTGAACGGATTATTGTTTAAGAAATAAGCCTGGTTTACTCTGAATTAATCTCTTATACCGGGGTGGGCAAACTTTTTGGCCCAAGGGCCACATTGGGGTGCGAAACTGTATGGAGGTCTGGGTAGGGAAGGCTGTGCCACCCCAAACAGCCTGGCCCCGCCCCCTATCTGCCCCCTCCCACTTCCCACCCCCTGACTGCCCCCCTCAAAAACCCCCCCATCCAAACCACCCCCCAATCCTTGTCCCCTGACTGCCGCCTCTTAGGACCCCCGCCCATAACCACCCCTTGGGACCCCCCCATCTAACCCCCCTGTTCCCTGCCCCCCATCCCTCCCAAACCTCTGCCCCATCCAACTGCTCCCTGTCCCCTGACTGCCCCCCACCCCCTTACCATGCTGCTCAGAGCAGCATGTCTGGCAGCCGTGCCGCCCGGCCAGAGCTAGACACACTGCTGCTCTGCACTGCAGGAGCGCACAGCCCCGCCGCCTGGAGCACTGCCCACATGGCGGCGCGGCCAGCAGAGGAGGGGCTGGGGCTAGCGCTAGCCTCCCCGGCCAGGAGCTGGGCAGGATGGTTCCGCGGGCTGGATGTGGCCCGCAGGCCACAGTTTGCCCACCTCTGTCTTAAACCAATACCACACGGATGCTTCAGTACTATGATAATTATATATGAACGTAAGCATTTACCATACTTCCTAGTAAATACCGAAAATGAAGTGTTATCTGTGCTGTCATCTGCCTAGTGTATTCCAGTGCTATTTTTCCTTTATGGCACAAGATGGTGATAAGGCAAGGTAACTTCAAGTAAAATATGTAACTCAGGTTCTTAGAAGCCCCTTGGGATTTAGCAATTTTTAATCAACTTACTACCTGGGAATTTCATTTTCACTCTTTCATTGAAAACATTAGTGTTCACATTCCCTTTATGGGAAGTAATGTGGTCCAGTAGGTAAGAACCCTGGCCTGGAATTCAGGCGACTTAAATTCTAGTCCTGGTTCTCCCACTGATCTGCCATCGGGCCTTGGACAGTGTCTCAATTTCCTAAATGTGAAGTGTGGAGACTAATGCTAACTTACCTTTGTAAAGCACCCAGTTCTACACATGAGCAGAGCTATGCTAATACTAAATATTCTTCTGGTTCAGCAACATTAGACTTCGCACCCCAAGCATTCAGGTGAATGGCTCTCTCAAAACATACAGAACAGGTACTCAGAAAGCAGATGTACACAAACAATACTCAACCTGGGGCTCTACAGTCAAACAGAATACTGAAGACAGAAGAAATTGTAACACTGCACTACACATGGACAGCCAAAGTAATACTGAATCAATAAACTGGAGTTGGCCAATCCCTAACTTCACCCGGGAGCAGTTGGAAGAAAGATGAAAAATAACCCCTTTCACTACAATAGCCAGGAGGTGGGGTAGGAGGAGAGTGGATATGATACATTGAATTGAACAGCTGAAGAACCACAAAAAACAGTAACTTCCTCACACTACTGAGTCAACCAAAAGTTACACTGAGATGTTGTGCATGTGGGGGAGATTTTGTGCCATCCCATTAGGACATCACTACATTGTTATTTTGTAGCTCTTTAATTCCTCTTGATGCAGTTACTCTGTGCCTTAAGGTTGAGTATTACTATCTTGTATGCAAACAAAAATGTTTGTTTGTGTATATTTTACTCCTTCGCTAGTACAAACTGGCTTCAGAACAACTATACTGAATGTCTGAAAAGATCCAGGTCTTTGGTACAAGAACTGTATCTCTCAAGATCTACGGCAAAGAAAGTTAATTCAACAGCACGCCTACCTGCCCAGTGGATGTGCCAACAGCCATATTCAAAGCTCCATTAAACTTCAGTGCTGAAATAGATGGTAAGCCATCTATCCTGAAAAGAACAATGTTTATAATTATATTTTCCTTTTAGTAAAGACTGTGAATATTTGCTAAAATGCCTACAGTTAATGGCTTAAAATACTGAATGTTTATTTATATACTCAGAAATTAGATACAAAAACTAATGGGGACACCAATGACATACATTTTTCAGAAATATTATTGTTCATCTTCACAAGCATTGTGTTGATGTGCATTTTTAAAGGTTAGCCTTTGCCTGTCAGACCAATGAAATAAGAGACCTAACTTTCCAGATAAAGGATCAATTCTACAGCATTTACACACTAATGTTGACGAGATTACTGATGTGTAGCAGGACTGGAATGTAGGATCAGGACCTAACATTATGCACTAACAGCCAATCATTACTTACTCTGTATCTGCTGTTACACTGCTTAAAGCACAGTCCAACACACCAACTCGATTTCTTGTTCTAGGGTCCCAACATTCCACTTTCCCCTAAATACAGAATAAACAATTAATGACAAAAAATATATAATTCAAGATTACAGTGCAATTATTTAGCCCTGTCAGAAACCAGAAATCAAAATTAGAGAGGATGCTGGATCTATTGACAAGCCACTTTAATTGTAAAGGTGAACAGCTCATGGAAGAATTGGATTTAAGTGATCACATGCTAATTGCCACATTTTAGTTTTCTTCTTTTTCTAAAAAAATACGATCAGATCTGAATATCTTTAAAATGTTAAATCCTAAAATAGTAACAGGATATGTGTAGGCTACTTAAGTTATACATATGTCTATATTTTAAAATTAAATGTGATGATTATTTTCTTTGTTTTCTTGTGGAATCATAAGTGTCTCCACATCCAATATAGTGCAAGAAATTGTGTTTGCATTATGCTCTGAAAACAGCCATGCTGTCCAACATCTTAATCAATTCACATTTAACGTAATACATTAGATCAAATTAATTCTTCAGCTATATATTATGATTCACTTCTATGATCTGCATATGATCACCAAGAAATGAGAAAGAAATACTACCACAGTTAAGGTTAATTTAGAAAGGTTAATTTAAACATTTACCTCAGCTGTCCCAGTAGCAAATAAGCAGTGTATGGGATTTATGTCACAGACATTATTCTCCCTAGAATAGAAAGAGGGGCAAAGTTTAATGACCCACAAAATGACTTAGAAGAACTACAACAATTTTAATTATCACGCTTATCCCAAAACCAAGATCCTACCAACAATCCCACCCTCAACTGCCTGCTTATTCATTCCTTCCATAAATATCTTATTGTTTCTCATCCCCTCTTGTACTTGAAATCTTCCCTGAAATGATTTACAAGTCTATCACCTCCTCCAAGTCCCTTCTCAAGACCCACTTCTGCCATGAAGACTGCAAGAAATCAGCCAACATATGATCGCTAGACAGAAGAGCACTGGGGATGGTTATATGAGGGCACATTAATCAAAAGGAAGTTTCATAAAATCTATTTTAAAGAGCAGATTAGACAATTAAAAAATATCCATAGAAATAAACTGAACACGTCTAACTGTCAGAGCGAAGATTTTTTTAAAGTATGAAGCTCAGAATTGACCATGCTTCCTCCTAACTATATACCTTTATTTACATTAAAGTGCATTTGGATTGCACATGGAATGTGCTATTGATAATGAGCAAGATAAATATTTGGCTCCCCCTGCTGGAAAAATTGTAATGAACATGATAAACTGTAGTTACTTACGAAGCATCTGTTTGTAGAGAATTCAGGTACCTTCCTTGTTCCAGATTTAATCTGTATACTTCAGAACTACAAAGAAGCTAAAGTTAATTATTTCTCTCTAAATGCTGCATATTTTAAATGAGTGAAAACCATAAGACAATTCTTGTTTAGATCTCATTTTTACAGCAAATATAAATTTTCAGAACTTAATTTGAATAGCACAGGGAAACTCCTATGCCCGACTAATCTTTCTTCCCATCTCCAAATGTTCACCAACAAAAAGTGTTGGTACTATACTAAAAACTACACCTTCCCAGATAAGGAATGTGTTAATTTTCTAACATGTTACCTTAGCAACTCTCAGTATTTTCTGTTGTTTGTTATTTATTTTATAGATAAAATATAAATTATTTCCTTAAAAAAAACCCACAACCAACTATTCATCTTGGTTTGAAACTTTGAAGGTCTACATATGGCTTTCACTCCCCTGCCTTCCTAGGGACTCTATAATTCATGCTTTTACACAATTTAACTCAATTTAGTAAAATTATAACAAAATCATCAACAAGGACAAACATGGAAAAATATAAATTGACTTTTGGATTTTTCTGATTTTTAAATTACATAATACACATGATTTAACATGACAGTATGTTGTGTTGTAATTTTTGACAGCTATTTTCAAAAACATAACGTAACTGGGCATAGAACTATCCAATGGTAACAGACTAAGGAAATGAAAGGACTTAAAGAATCACAGAAATGCAGGGCTGGAAGGGACCTTGAGGGGACATTTAGCCCAGCCCTTTGTGCTGAGACCGGACCAAGTATGTCTACACCATCTCTGCTAGGTGTTTGTCCAACCTGTTCTTAAAAGCCTCCAGTGATGGTGATTGCACAGCGTCCCCTATTCAAGAACTTAACTACTCTTATAGAAAGTGCTTCCTAATATCTAACCTAAATCTCCATTGCTGAAAATTAAGCTAATTATTTCTTGTCCTACCTTCGGTGGACATGGAAATCAATCAATATCCTCTTTATAACAGCTCTTCGCATATTTGAAGACATATCACTCTTCTTTTCTCAAGACTAAATGTATCCAGTTTTTTTAACCTTTCCTCATAGGTCAGGTTTTTCTAAACCTTTTATTGTTTTTTTTTGCTCTCTTCTGGACTCTCTCCAATTTGTCCACATCTTTTTAAAGTATGGCGCCCAGAACTGGACATAATACTCCAGCTCAGGTCTCATCAGTGCCAAGGAGAGCCAATTATCTCCAATATATTACATATGATAATCTTGTAAATACACCCCAGAATGATATCAGCCATTTTTGCAACTGCATCGCATTGTTGGCCCATATTCAAATTGTGATCCAATATCCTCCCCCGATCTTTTTCTGCAGTATTATTGTCTACAGAGTTATTCCCAAATTAGTATTTGTGTATGATTTTTCCTTCCTGAGTGTTATTGCAATTAATTTTGTAAAGTCTTCTGTTTAATGAACCAACTTAGATTTTCTATCACCAACATTTTCTACTCTTCACCGAAGAATATTATTTTCCACTATGCATGTAGATGGAATTGTCAATTTTTACAGTATATTTTTAGCTTCATTTTATACTTGAAGAAAAAAAAACAAACAGTCCTAAGAAAAATGAAAACAAAGACCAGCCCATCTGGATCAATACCTTGCTCCTACAAAATACAGGTCACATGATGGGTAGTGGTAGGAGAAATCTCTACCAAACTTTGGTATTCTTGTCCTGTAATAACGGCCATGTTGTGAATGAAACTCAACGTATCTGTCACACTGCAAGAAGACAATCTGAAAACACAAAGCAGAAAGGATTTGGGGGTTGGTTGGTTGTTTTTCTGATGGTTTCCTCCCCTTCCCCACCCTCGTTACTCTTTCTTTAAAGAAAACTCCAGCTATTTTTCAAACTCACAGGTTTTTATCAAAACCAACTGATTTGGCTATTATTTTTAAACAACATTGTATTTAACTAACAGTGGTAAAATTTACTAACATTGATCCTGACTCGCTATTTTCATTGGGTATGGGGAGAGATTTTGATAAATAATTTGAAGAGAATCTTTCCAAATGATTTCTGTAGCCTTTGATCAATGTTTTTAGTGAAATTTACACATGCGTTTAAAAAGTTGCATAATGGTGGTGGCGTTTTCTGTTCATTTGTCTGAAATTTGTATGCATATATGAACAGCTCCCCTACCATCACCACTCCCTGAAGGGAAGGGAAGGACCGATGTCTAACTGATGTGCACCTTTGATATCATGTTTCATGTCTCAGAGAGTGGCCACACCAGATGCTTGAGAGGAAGGTGTAAGAATGCTGCAGCAGATAGATGCAAGATAATCTGCCCCATACATTAGGTCTCATGATCCAAGAACTAGAGACTGACTTAAACCCCGAAGCTAGAGGTTGAATATCCATTCCCCACAATTTGTTACCATTAATTATAGCAACTCTGGATATTCATGTTATTCACATAGAAGTCCAAACCTATTTTGAATTTTGCTAAATGCTTGGCCTCAACAATTTCCTGTGGCAATGTGTTCCAGAATTCAACTACAGGTTGTGCGAAAAATTACTTGAATTTGCCACCTTTTAATTTCATTGAATATCTGTTGTTCTTGAGTTATGAAACAGGGAGAACAGAAATTCCTGATCTACATCCTCAAGACCATTAATTATTTTACATAATTTTATCATGTCCCCTCTTATTCATCTCCTTTCTAACATAAAGGATCCAGATATTTTCACTCTCTCTTCAACATAGTTTTCCCACACCCTTGATCATTCTGCAATTTATTTATTTTTTTACAATGTGGGTGATTAATATTGCAAATGAGGCCACCTCATTCATTTATATAATGGCATAACAACATTTTCCAAATTATTCTCCATCCAATTCCTCATGCAGCCTAACATGATTTAACTGGGAATTGGTCCTGCTTTGAGCAGGGGGTTGGACTAGATGACCTTCTGGGGTCCCTTCCAACCCTGATATTCTATGATTCTATGACATCTTGCTTGGCTTTTGACCACAGCTGCACATTAAGCAGAGCTCTTCATTCAGCTTTTTACAACGATGCCCAGGTCAATTCTCTTCTCTAGTCTAACTAGAATCTCTTCTGTTCTAACTTGACAGTCTAGTAAAACTAAAGGAAGTTTCTGAAGCATGGAGCAGTATAGAAAATAAGTTAAAGAGATTAACGCAAAATGAGATCATATTCAATTTAAGCTTTAACAGCATGTTTTAAGTCCACCGACAGAAGGAAAGGGGGAAAGACATCAAAGGATCACTCTCACGGGGAGCAGAGATGCAGTTTATTTTCAAGGACAAATCTGAATATTCATCCTCCTTTACTTCCCACACAAAAAGAATTTTTAAAGACTTTTCAAAATGTACCTAAAAAATAAAACACAATCAAATTTCATGCCTCCATAAAGTAAGCTCAGAGTAATTAAAGGACATACAAATGTTGAAGTTTCCCTCAATCTCTAATAATTGTTGTTTTAGATATTTTTGGAAAGTCTCTACAATACTGGAACGGAAAACACTCAGGTTTTCCTTTATTAATAAATAGATCCAACTCAGTGGAACTTTTTTATATTAGTTTTCCCTTAGCATCATGTCAGTTTCTGCCACCACTGAGTTATTCCTAGAGAATAAAACCACTGGATGACAAGATCAACTTCCCTAATGTATCTGGCTACTGCTACGGGTAACAGACAAATGGAAAGACAACCTTCTTTGAAAAGGTCAGGGAACAAAAACACCATTCCTTACTAAACCTACACAGTGAGTCATAAAAACATCCAATAGTAAATACTTCCAGAGTAATGCCTCTTCGATTAAAAATATCTTGAATGCACTACTAATTTAAATGGTGACAGGTTTCAGAGTGGTAGTCGTGTTAGTCTGTATCAGCAAAAAAAACTAGGAGTACTTGTGGCACGTTAGAGACTAACGAATTTATTTGGGCATAAGCTTTCGTGGGCGAATGAAGTGGGTTTTAGCCCACGAAAGCTTATGCCGAAATAAATTTGTTAGTCTCTAACGTGCCACAAGTACTCCTAGTTTTTTTTTGCTAATTTAAAGTAGGTAGGATTATTTGGACTGGTTTTCAGTTTTTCTCCTTATTGATTATATAGTATGTTTTTGGATAATAAAGTTAAAAAAAGACATACAACAAGGAAAATATGGAGTTAGACAAGTTCTCTAGATAGTTTTTCTACATCTGAATATATTGGCAATTTCAGCTAAACACAAAAAAGCAAGACTATATTTAGTAACCAGACAGGAAACTAATTTGTAAACAAAAATGTCTTCTGATAACCTCACAAGTTCTTTTTCAGTCCTTAAGATGGCCAGCATTTTCTCTTAGGCTTTGTCTAGAAAGCTACATTGGTCACAGGTATGAAAAAAAATCACACCTCTGACTAACACAGCTATGCCAACATAAACCCCAGTGTAGACGCAGCTATGTCAATGGAAGAGTGCTTCCATCAATGTAGCTAACATCGCTCGGGACGAGGTGTTCCTACACCAACAGAAAACCCCTTTCTGTCAATGTACGCTGCGTCTACACTACTGGACTATGCCAGTATAGTCTCCATAGTGTAGACGTACCTTTAGAGAGAAAGCAGGTGGAAGACTACTGTAACTCATAGAATCAGTTCCCTCCTTTTCCCCTTCAATGCCGACACAGTTATTCTTAGTTATTTAGCAGGTGGCAGAATTTTAGACATTCTGAATCTAGAAAAGCAACAAGATTATGTATCCAATAAAATGGCAATGTCTGTCCAGGGAAACTGAGGTCCTGATTCAGCAAGGTACTTAAGCATATGTCTAAATTTAAACATCTGAGTAGTCTTATTGAAGTCAACAAAATTACTCACATGCTTAACATTAGACACATGTTAACAACTTGATCAATCAGCACCTTAAATACATTCACATTTAAAGGAACAGTCAATTTGAAAAAAAATCACATTTCTGTCTGAAAAATTTGTACCTACCTTGTAGTTGTGAATGACTGTGACTAAAGCTATGTCTATATTTACAGTGGTGTGTAGAGAATAGCCCCCAGCACGAGTATAAACAGTACTGTAAATGGTGAGGAACTGCTTAGGCGAGTAAAGATGCACCAGAACCGCGGGAGTATCTATCCTACACAGCTCTTTACACACCTGAAAAATGCCTCCCACATCTACCCTGCTATTTTTAGCAGTGTACTGCCTTGCCCCTTTCCTGCTGTGGGAGCTTTCCCTGTCAAAGTTGAAGGCTCTGGCAGCAGGGAAAGGGGAGAAGCAGTGAGGAGAGGACCATCCACTGCCATGTGTAGCTGTACACTGCAGTGTGGACGCAGCCTGCTAGTCACTGAGGCATATAGGTACGCATACCCGATACACTGTTACTAATATAGACGAAGCCTAAAATGTCTATAACTGAAAGAAATTAGTAAAGACATTTCCTTCTTTTTCACATTTCATTTTTTTGTATTTTTGACCAAACTTTGCATTAACTTCCAGTTTTGTTCTTTGTCCTGTATCCTGACTATTCAGGAGAAGACATCCAAACAACAGAGGCAGAAAAAAATAAAACATTTTAAAGATCATTTTAAAGAGTCAGGACATGCTATTTAAAGAAACTGGACTTTCATTTTTTTAACTCATCAACTTCAAAAGTTTGTATTGGCAGTATCCCTTTAATACTTAGAAGTCTAAAATAATTCAGTTCTCAATAGACATTAAAAATAAAATATTAAACATACCTTTGAGTAATCATCTGATAAAATATCAAATGTAACCACTGGGGAGGAGGAGGAATAAAGGAAGTTTAAGAATCAATTATGTAAACATGATTTACAAACAGTGACCTAGATCTTTGATGCTTAACTTTCATCATGTAAGTAGTTCACACTGACGTCAATGCATTATGTATGCAATCTTTAATTACATGATCAAATACAATCTTCATATGCTTTTCTAAAGCCTTAGAGATACACATGTAGCATCTCGTAATGTTTTATCATTCTTGTAAACAATGTATTTTCCTTAAAATAATACTCAAGTATATCTTTTTTGACTCAGTCTAGTTAGATGCTAGTTAAGTCAGAGAAAGGCAATTTTTTTTGGTGAATTTAGGCAGCTTTTATATGCCAGCAGGTGTCCACTATTAAACTGTTGTACTTACTCTGAAGGAGTTCTTTGTAAATTAATGACTTTCACAGATTGTTTTTCTGGAATACTAGAAGACTATACACGTGTTTAAAACAAATGGAGATGTAATGATGAAATTAAAGGTTATCATAACGAATATGCACAAAGTTATCATAACGAATATGCACAAAGTACAACCTTGCCTTTGTCATATCTTGAGCACTTAACCACACAACTTTAATAATATCTTAATTTAGTTTTTTAGATGAAATTATTTATTCATTTCTAGTAGCACTCACAACATGTAAAGTGCTTTTCAGATAGGAAAGAAGGCAAATAAGCTCAAATTCCATTCAGAATGTAAGCAATTAACATATAATTAATAACCTTAACTAGCTTACAGATTTAAATTTGATACCGAATAAAAAAAATTAAAGCTTTTTACAGTTTTCTAGAACACTAACTAGATTGATTCACTTGGAAAGAAGAAACTGCAATACTGGTGTGACAGTTTCTACTATTCAAGACAGGAGTAGGCAAATTAGTAAATTTTACTCTGTACTTATTGCTTTTCTTGATAGCTGATTAGATAAAGGTTATTTGATTAGATTTTTTTTGTAATTAAAAAAAAAATTGTAAAAGGCCAGCCAGCCATAAAAGCATGTTTATCTAGGATTGATGGCTCACTTTCTAGCAATCTTATTGATTACGGAAATCCCATTTGGGTTGACCAAAGATACACATGGACATTTGGATCTAACAATTACCAAGAAAAGTGCAATGTAAAACCTTATGATCTTACAAACTTAAGTTACAAGGTAAATCAGATAGCCTGTGCTTTGCTTTAGATATGTTATTTAAGTTCCCACAGAATTCAAAATGATTTACAACATACGTTAAGTAACATTATCCCCCTTTTACAGATGGGAAAATGGAGGTACGAAAAAGTGACTTGCATAAATCACAAGAAGTTAATGACAGAACACAGGTCTCTTTACTCCACTTCAGTGCTCTACTCACAGGTCTACACTGTTTCCCATATACAGTTTAAAGCCATATCATTTACTGACCTTCAGAATCCAAGCATCTTTCAAATTTCAGGGATAATTGATAGGTATCAAAACACCGGATCCTTGGCTTATATGTTCCTGCAAAACAGTTTTATCACTGACATAAGCAAAGCAGAGAATATGTTTTCAAAACAATCAGTTAAACAGAGTCAGGTCTTAAGTATGCACAGTGTTTACTTTTGCCATTATTTCAACTGTTGGGACCTTTAGCCCTAGAAATCAATGGTAGCTGCTGAGTGCTTGCAACTTTTAAATATCAAGACACGTAGGGACATAACTTTAGGGACCCGTTTTTGAAAACCTTGATCTTGGTGCTGCAGATTTATTCTGAAAACCACACACAAACACATCTAAGCTGAAGATAACGGTCTCTGTGACTGGATTTAACAATAGTACCTTCTAATCAGTCTGAAAGGCTAAGCCTGTGTACTGTATTAGATTGCCCAGGTCTGCTTAAATAACTAATTCTCAGTTGTTCTCTCTGTGAAGTTTAGTTGTAGTACTATACCTCCATCCTTTTAAAGAATACCAGATTAATTTAAAAGAAGATATGATTATTGTACAAGAATAATAATCATAACAGGAGCATTTTAATCAAAATGGCTGAAGTACCCATAGAATGGAATAGGAAGATAACATTTTCCTTACACTTTACCATTAAAGTGAGATTCATAACTAAAGACCACATTTACTGTTCATTCACCAAGTCAGACATGCAGCTATCATGTCTTAAAATAGTACATTTAATATCAAATAATATATGGTTTACCTGGGCCAATCCATTAAATATTTAGAGTTTCACTGATTTTTACTTTTGATTTAAAAAAAAAAAACAATCAATCAAAACCAGGTTTCATTACTTATGCAAATTTGGATCAGTAAATAGTTTGGTGGCCATTGGGATTTTCAATCAATTAAACTTTAAAAACTTATTTTGAAAGCCAGATTCATATACATGTAATAGAAGTGTCAAGGGCAGCCTCCATTTGCAAAAAATAACTTAATTAAATTCTACAAATACCCATGTGCTACAAAGAAGTGCTTCATGGAGCATCATGACATGTGAGCTACCAGGATCACCACCTGGTAACAGTAAGCTGAAAAAGCACCTATACATTGACACTTAAAAATTATCTAGAACGTCTTCTCTCCTTCAGTAAGGTAGCTCCAGGTCAAGGTTTTCTAATATTTTAGCCTTTGGCATACATAAACATTTAGTTAACTCACCAGCTGCCATAATATACTGTCCATCCCTTGATACCTTAATCTTTGTGCTAACTGTGGGCATGTCAAAGTCTTGAATAAGTTCAATTCTTCTGCGAACATCTGAAGAGAAAACATTCCTATTAAAGAAAACTGGTAACATCTTTTGTTTGACAGGCAAAGTTTTCTAAGGCAGCATCATTAGTAACTAAACAAAGGACAAAAATCCTCATTTTAAGCATGATTAACATTTAATATAATGCTCCTGGGGGAATTCTGCGCAAAAAAATTAAAAATTCAGCACCAAAAAATTTAAAATTTGGTACGGAATATTTGAAATTCTGCATATTTTATTTGTCAAAATAACACAATATAATTAAGCCAGTTACAATTATTTTGGTAATTTGTTTCAAAATATCTGTCAGAAAGTATGTCTGTAACAACACAGACAAAAAAAAAAAAAAAAAAAAGATTCTGGTAATTTTTTTTGACAGATTCCTTACGAGGCAAATTAATACAGAACTTTGTGTAAGTCATTTAAGTTACAATACAGAATTGTATTTCCTGCACCTGTCAGAAACGGTGCAAAGGCTTGGGGGAGACAGGGAGTTGAGGGAGAGGGAAGGAGCCTAGGAGTGAACCTGGAGGGTGTTGGTGGGAGGTTTTTCTTTGCAGGGGTGGGGGGAAAGATTGTTAGGGTGTTGCGAAGCCTCCACCATGCAGACCCTGGCTGACCCCAAGCCTCTCTCATTCAGTCAGGCATGTCTGCCCCTGACCCCCCCGCCCCGCCCCTCCCCCAGGCTCAATGCTGTCACCCCACCAGCTCCTGAGCCCATGCTCCAGTCTGTCCCCCCGCCCCACGAGCCATTCTGAACCCCAGTCTGTGACCCCCAGCAGCCCTGTGTGCCCCACTCTGTCCTAACCTAGCTCTGCGGGCAGGGTGCTGTGATGAACTCTATTCCTGGGAGAATTCTGCAGCACTGGGAATAGAATTTTGTATTTTCCCACATAAAAAGCACTTTGCCTAAGAAGTGCTGCAGTTCCGCCTTTTGTCCACCAGAAGTCGCTGTGGCGCCGGAACAGCCAGCTGCTTTCATGCTGGCTGTTCTAGTGCCACAGCGGCCTCTTCTGGGCAAAAGGCGGAACTTCAGCACTTCTTAGGCAAAGTGTTTTTTATGTGGGAAAATACAAAATTATGTCAAAAGAAAACCGAAAATTATGTCAGGTTTCAGAGTAGCAGCCGTGTTAGTCTGTATCCGCAAAAAGAAAAGGAGTACTTGTGACACCTTAGAGACTAACCAATTTATTTGAGCATCAGCTTTTGTAAGCTACAGCTCACTTCATCGGATAATTTGTTAGTCTCTAAGGTGCCACAGGTACCCCTTTTCTTTTTACAAAATTATGTGAGACAAATGAATTCTGCTAGTCCACAGATGCGCAGAATTCTCCTAGGAGTAATTAATACTGCTTCCAAAAATATGCTGAGTGATAAATTTACAGATGAGTAAATTCTGTGAATTTTCAGAAGTAGACTATATCAATATAGAACAAATCACGTCATTTCAGTTATGGTATAGTAGTATAATTATAGTACAGACAGTGTGTTAAACAGCTTTTTACCTTATATAGCAGAAACATTGTATAGTGCAAAAAGAAAAGGAGTACTTGTGGCACCTTAGAGACTAACCAATTTATTTGAGCATGAGCTTTCGTGAGCTACAGCTCACTTCATCAGATGTGAGCTGTAGCTCACGAAAGCTCATGCTCAAATAAATTGGTTAGTCTCTAAGGTGCCACAAGTACTCTTTTTCTTTTTGCGAATACAGACTAACACGGCTGTTCCTCTGAAACCTGTCATTGTATAGTGCAGTGGTTCCCAACCTTTTTGGGCTGTAAATGTTTATAGCCTGTCATGACCCAGTAAATAATCTGGGGATGGAGGCCCTGGGGTAGTTTCAGGCAGATTCTGCCCAGCACTCACCCCACAGTGGCGGCTCTTGCAGCTCCTGTGCTGTGGGGCTGGCTGGGCATGGCTCTCCACTCCAGGCATTGCAACTTCTAGGGTTGCAGTGAACTTGAGTGGCACCGGGACCCCGGAGGTTTCCTGGAGTAGGGAGGCAGCCCAGCCAGCTTCACAGGATTGTAGCCACAGGAGTTGCCACACGACGCTCTGAAACATTCTGGCGAACCAATTTTGGGTCCAGACCCATGGGCTGAGAAACCCTGATATAGTGTATCACATTACCCTCTTTTATAGATTCATGCAATAAAATCCAATATATATATCTATTTTAGCTTTCCGTATGGCAGTTATCACTATGGTATTTATCCCAAAAACAAAAGAGCATAAAAATCCAGAGTAAAAAGGTGGTTTTTTTTTCTCCCGATCTCTAGGCAGAGGAGCATGACTACACATGGGTAGGAATTTTTGTTTGCTGGGCATTTTTTAACAGCATAGAGTCTCGGACAAGAAGAGGAGGCTTCAACTCAAAATGTAAAATCCACATTTTAATTAAACAACAGATCTTGGTGACAGGACTTCTTGCCAGAAAAGAATGCTCTGATATCAGTACTCAGTGCTGAGAAATGTGAGTATAATCAACTGCATTGTCCTTGAGGATCATAATTGTCACATTTCTGATGCAGATATAATCTTATCATAATGTATATGTAAAAGGGGTCCAGCATATATTCTGTCCCACTTCCTACAGTGGCCGACACCTGATGCTTCATAGGAATTCAAGAACAACCCATAATTCATCCAGTCAACTGTACAATATTGCGCATGAGAAAGTTTAGTTCTTGACCCCATAATCTACAACAATTTACAGCTGTGCCTCTTCAATCCAAAGGTGGCTGCCAACTATCTACGTACATAAGCAAGATATAATTGTAGCTCTTAAATCAGTTTATAAAGTTTTTTGATCTACTTCTGGACTAGGATGCTATGTAAATGCAACCCATTACCGAACAGTATGTGTTAAGGACAACTTACCCACATTTTTCTTTTGTAGTGCTCTCTTCTTCCTATCAGAAAGCCACTGTAAGAAAAGGAAAATAATTGCTGTCAGTACTAATTTAAAGTGCTAGGAAAAGAAAGTGTGAGTTAGACTTATCAAATTTGCCAGTGAAACAATGCTGGGATTTAACAGTCAAATTAATTCTTTTTCTGTTTATTGTGCTATGTATAGCAAAGCAAGCATTTCCATGAAGATATTTAATAATTTCACACTTAAGAAAAAAAGTAATTGAAAATTTGAGTGTGCTGTGAGTCTCTCAACACTCACCTGATTATTACAGCTTTTAAATTCAGAACGTTTATCTTTGCAATCAGAGCAGTTATACATTTTTTTTCCCCACATAAAATCTTAAGAATCACAGCCTCCCTGTACCGAGGCGGTGTGGCTCCCCGCTGCCCCGGAGAAGGTCGAGCCCCTCCAGCCATCAGAGTGGGCGAAGCCAGGAAGCTCTGAGCCCGCCCCTCAGAGGGACAGGTGGCGACCCGGAGGTAGAAAGGCGCAACCCGGAAGTATAAAGGTGGGACCTTCACGCTCACTACAGGACCAGCTGCCAGGGAGGCCAGACGTAGCCAGCCTAGCCTGCGACTGGGAAAACCCCACGGCCTCAGGTCCACACCAAGACTGGCTGGACCTGCCCTGCACCAGCTATCCATGGGAGTTACCAGTCCGGCCGCTTGTCCACTGCCCCGAGGAACCCATGATGCTGGACACCCCGGAGACCACTGCCGGGACCCAGGTACCAGAAGAAGGGGAGTTAGGAAGTAGCCCGGGGACAGCTGACCCTAGTCTGGCTGTAACTCTGCCAGAACCCATGTCAGTGTGTTGCGGTCAGGATCCCCACTGACCCAGCAGCGGGTTGTTTGCTGCTGCTAGGGCCCCAGGCTGGGACGCAGTGGAGTGGGTGGGCCTGCATCCCCCCTGCCACCCAACTCGTGGATGGCAATCTCCTCCTCTCCCAGGTCCTTGGAGGCCTGGGCTAATTCACACATGCTGTGTTGCTCAGCCCCTGCCCGAGGGCTTGAGCTACTGACTATTTGGTGCCCCGCCCAGACCTACAGTGCTCAGTCCAATTACTGCAAGGGCTGCCGAGGGAGACTCCCATAGTCGGACAAATTCCCCAAAGTTAACTGTGTGTAGCGAGCCGGTGTGGCTCCCTGCCGCCCCGGAGGGGGTCGAGCCCCGGCTCAGCCCCTTTACACGTGGTGGAGAATGCAGGCACGATCCCTCAGCCCCTGTGAGAAGGGAGAGAGAGCCATGGAGATGGATCGACTAATTAAGCTCCTGATGGAGACCCAGGAGCGACAGCAAGCCGCCGCCCAGCTCCAGCAGTTAGTGACGGCATCACCGCGCCCTGCGGAGCCGCAGCTGGGAAATGCGACCGGGTCCTCACGCACCACAGTGCCAGTCCGGCTAACCAAGATGGGACCTGACTATGACCCCGAGGCTTTCTTGGTGACATTTGAACGGGTGGCGCTGGTTGCTGAGTGGGCCCCTGACCAATGGGCCACTCTTTTGGCCCCACATTTGACCGGGACTGTCCAAACGGCATACCGGGGGCTGGCTACATGTGAGGCAAAGGATTATAAGCAGCTAAAAGCAGCAATCTTGGACGCCTTGGATGTCAGCCCAGACACCTTTTGACAGCGGTTCCAAAGTCAGACATACCCCACAGGCACCAGACCCCAGCTGGTGGCCCAAACCCTGAAGTAAACGTGCAAGCGGTGGCTACAACCAGACAGGAAGACAGCAGAGGAGGTCACGGAACAAATCATTTTAAAACCATTCGTACACAGCCTCCCGGCCCGAGGACGGGCCTGGGTGCTCCACCATCGGCCAGCAATGTTAGCAGCCGCCGTCACGCTGATGGAAGACTTCCTCACAGCTGAAACGTTGGTGAGGCCCGTCATCCGAACCCAAACCCCTGGGCCAGAGCACACTAACACCGAAAGAAAAGGGGGCACCCCGACCAAGCGATGGAACCTCCCCCGCTGGCAAAAGGTTCGCTCAGGGCCTCAGGCCAGACGCCCTGAGCTCCCCCCTCAACAAAGGTCTGCAACCACCATGCTGAATTTCCCAGGGACCAGTTGGAGTGCACCTAGGAGCCCGTCAGGAGCCCCCACCCGGCGTGGTCGCCCTGAACTCGGGCCCTGCTTTCTATGTGGGAAGTATGGACATTTGCAGCAGGACTGCACAGAAATGGACTGCAGCTTCGGCCTTGTCTGTGCGGGGGAAACCGGGGCCCGGCTACCACAGGCTCCCAAGATCACAGTTCCGGTAGCTGTCGGGGACCATCCCACCCAGTCCCTGCTAGACTCCGGCTGCGGGCAGACACTGATTCGCCAGGCTTTGGGACCACCGGTGGACTCCCACTTGGGAACAATTCAGCTGCAATGCATCCACAGCGATGTTCGGCCCTACCCCAGTGCCTGGATCCCATTGACAGTGGCCGGGGTCACCCGACGAATCGTTGTTGGCCTGGCCCCTCGACTTGCATACCCGGTGATCCTGGGGCAGGACTGGCCCGCCTTCGAGGAGGACTCCGCTCTACCCCGATGCTGGAAGGAGAATTTGAGGCCCTATCGGAGGAGGAGGACGGGACCCCGGAACCTGGAGAAGGGACTGAGGAAACACACGGCCCCCTGCTGGGGCCCTCTGCCGAATCCCAACTCCATGCTGATTTTTGCCAGGACCAAAAAGCCGACCCCACCCTGAGCCAGGCCTTTAAATACCTAGCGGCCTTTGATGGGACTATGGTCGACCCTCAGTGCGCAATCAGGTGGCCCCACTTCGAGCTACGCTGGAACCGTCTGTACCGGATTGACTGCGACCCCCGCACGAAGGAACCACAAACGCAGCTGCTGGTACCACGGTGTCACTGACGGGCTGTGATGAAGCTTGCGCATGACATCCCCACTGCCAGGCACTTAGGCCATGAAAAGACCTTCGCCCGGATTTTGACGCGGTTCTTCTGGGCCGGTGTTCACCAGGAAGTGAGGAACTATTGTAGCTCCTGCCCAGAGTGCCAGTTAGCCGGTCCCCCGCGAGTACCCAGGGCCCCTCTAGTTCCCATGCCCATAATAGAGACACCATTCGAGCAAGAGGCCATGGACCTGGTGGGTCCGCTTCCAAAAAGTGCTTCAGGGTTCCGGTATGTCTTGGTCATCGTTGACTACGCCACCCGGTTCCCGGAGGCCGTGCCATTGCAGAGCACCACCGCCCAGACCATCGCTGGTGAACTGGTGAAGGTCTTTGCCCGAGTGGGCCTGCCCCGGGAAATCTTAACAGACCAAGGCACCAATTTCACCTCCCGGTTGTTGCAGCAGGTATGCAACCTCCTAGGGGTGAAACAATAACGCACCTCCGTCTATCACCCGCAGATGCATGGGCTTGTGGAATGGTTCAATCGGACCCTGAAGGAGATGTTGCAGAAGTTCCCCCCAGAGGAGCTACGCCAGTGGGACCAGCTGCTCCCTCCCTTGCTGCTAGCCATCCGAGAGGTACCCCAGTCGTTGACGAAGTTCTCCCCGTTTGAGCTGCTATATGGACGCCATCCACGGGGCCTGTTGGACCTCATGCAGGAAACATGGGAGCAGTCCCCTTCTCCACCCCAAGGCCTCCTGAAGTATGTCCTCCAGCTGCAGGAGCACCTCGCTCAGGCTGGAGCCGTAGCTCGTGAGAACTTGAAGGCGGTGCAGGAGATACAGGAACAAACCTATAACCAGGACGCGCAGGTGCGTGCCTTTGAACCAGGGGATCGGGTCCTGCGCCTCCTGCCATCGAGCGAGTCAAAGTTGCTGGCCCGATGGCAGGGACCCTATGAGGTGGCTTGGAAGGTCGGGCCTGTCACCTACAAGATCCACCAGCCCGACCGGCGCAAGAAGACCCAACTGTATCATGTGAATTTGTTGAAACCGTGACGAGAGCGGGAGGGTCTGCTGATTAACCCTTGCCCGCCAGAGCTGGGTCCTTGCGCACCCCTGACCGAGGACCCTGCCAGCCCCCAGCTCGGCAATACCCTCATGGAGGAACAGCACAAGCAGGCTCAATGTCTGCTACAGGCATTCTGGAGAACCTTTACGGCCCTACCCGATTATACGACCCTGGTCCATCTCTCCATTCAGACAGAGCCGGGAAAGGTAATCTGGGAGACGACCAGGTCGCTGCTATACCGAATGCGACAGGAAGTGGAGGAAGAGGTACAGGCCATGCTAGCCTTAGGAGTCATTGAGCCATCACAGAGTGAGTGGCGTAGTCCGGTGGTCTCTGTGCCCAAGCCCGACGGCACCCGGCACATTTGTATAGACTTCCGGCAGGTGAACGCCATCTCACGGTTCAATGCCTACCCTATGCCCCGTGTAGATGAACTGCTTGGCCGCCTGGGGGAGGCCCAGTTCATTACCACCCTCGACCTCAGTAAAGGGTACTGGCAGATCCCGCTCGACTACACCTCTAAGGAGAAGACTGCATTCGCGACCTCCTCGGGACTCTACCAGTTTACCCGGATGCCTTTCGGCCTCCATGGGGCCCCGGCGACGTTCCAGCGACTGATGGATCGTCTGTTGCGATCCCGTCAAGCCTATGTGGTGGCCTATTTGGATGATGTCGTGATATACAGCCGCCACTGGGAGGACCACCTAGAATGCATAGCAGTGGTCCTGAGATCACTGCAGCAGGCGGGACTGACAGCCAACCCGAAAAAGTGTTGCATCGGGTGGCAGGAGGCCATGTACCTTGGGTACATCATAGGGAAAGGACGAGTGAGACCCCTCGTGGGGAAAGTGCAAGCCCTGGGAGCCTGTCCGCCTCCCACTACGAAACACCAAGTAAAACAGTTCCTGGGGCTCGCTGGCTACTATCAGCGGTTCATTCCACAGTTTGCTTCCATCACAGCCCCCTTAACAGGACTTTTGACGAAGAACAGTCCCCAGCGAGTGCAATGGTCCCAAAACTGTGAAGATGCCTTTCGGACACTCCAGACGTGTCTCTGCCAGGAGCCAGTCCTATACAGTCCGGACTTTGACTGGGGGTTCATCCTCCACACCGATGCCTCGGAGGTGGGGCTCGGGGCTGTCCTATCCCAGGATGTGGATGGAGATGACAACCCGGTCCTATACCTCAGCCGAAAACTGTTCCCTCACGAGAAGAACTATGCCGTGATCGAAACGGAAGCACTCGCCGTGAAGTGGGCCTGTGACGCCCTGCGGTATTACCTCCTCGGGGCTCCATTTACGTTAGTCACGGACCATGCCCCCCCTCCAATGGTTAACAAAAATGAAAAATAACAACTATCGATTACTGCGGTGGTATCTGGCCTTATAGCCCTACGCTTTCACCATCCGGCATAGGGCTGGTAAGGACCATGTGAACGCAGACTTCCTGTCCCGCCTAGGAGGGATGGAAGAGTCTGATCCCGACGAGCGGGAGCCAGACTTGGGGGAGAGGGGGTTAGCGAGGTGGTGTGGCTCCCCGGAGAGGGTCGAGCCCCTCCAGCCACCAGAGTGGACGGAGCCAGGAAGCTCTGAGCCCGCCCCTCAGAGGGACAGGCGGCAATCCAGAAGTAGAAAGGTGGGCCCTCAGAGCTCACTACAGGACCAGCCGCCGGGGAGGCCAGACGTAGCCAGCCTAGCCCGCGACTGGGAAAACCCCACGGCCTCAGGTCCACACCAAGACTGGCCGGATCTGCCCTGCGCCAGCTATCCAGGGGAGTTACCAGTCCAGCCGCTTGTCCACTGCCCCAAGGAACCAATGGTGCTGGACCTCCCTGGAGACCACTGCCGGGACCCAGGTACCAGAAGGAGGGGAGTTAGGAAGTAGCCCGGGGACAGCCGACCCTAGTCTGGCTGTAATTCTGCCAGAACCCATGTCAGTGTGTTGCGGTCAGGATCCCCACTGACCCAGCAGCGGATTGTTTGCTGCTGTTAGGTCCCCGGGCTGGGATGCAGTGGAGTGGGTGGGCCTGTGTCCCTCCTGCCACTCAACTCGTGGATGGCAATCTCTCCCTCTTCCAGGTCCTTGGAGGCCTGGGCTAATTCACACATGCTGTGTTGCTCAGCCCCTGCCTGAGGGCCTGAGCTTCTGACTATTTGGTGCCCCGCCCTGACCCAGGGCCTGGCCTACTAACATTGGGCTATTTGCTCAGCCCTGCCTGAGGGCCTGAACTACTGACTATTAGGTGCCCCGCCCGGACCTACAGTGCTCAATCCAGTTACCGCAAGGACTGCCGAGGGAGACTCCAGTGGCCAGACAAATTCCCCAAAGATAACTGCGTGTATTGAGCCGGTGTGGCTCCCCACCGCCCTGGAGATGGTCGAGCCCTGGCTTAGCCCCTTTACACTCCCAAAACCAGCTTTGCCATCAACTCTAGCCTTGTCTAGATGAGGCTTTAAGATGTGCTGTTAGCATGTTAATTAACTAACAAGTTTTAACAGCCTAGTGTAGACAAGGCTCCTACCTAGCTGTAACTCTAACAGTTTAGCACACGTTAAAGTATATAAACTTCATAGTCTACACTAAACTTTTCAAATGTATTAGTTAGCATGTGCTAGCTAACATACTGGCAACACAACTTTTATCTAAGTCTAAAAGCCCTACAAATTACAATTCCAAGGAATAGGACAGCAGTCAAGAAAGAGACTAGGAATGGGGTGGGAGAGAATGATATAATCCACAAATATGTAAAAGGTTATTATTGGGGCAGTTAATTTAGGTAAAACAAGCACAGACTTCACTCAAAATTATTACAATTTTGTCATGAGACAAAATTTTTTTTCTTCAGTTTTCTTCACTTTGTTCTATTCCTATTTGTCCACTCCACTTTGTCTTTGGGGGGAGGGATAGCTCAGTGGTTTGAGCACTGGCCTGCTAAACCCAGGGTTGTAAATTCAGTCCTTGAGGGGGCCATTTGGGATCTGGGGCAAAAATTGGGGATTGCTCCTGCTTTGAGCAGGGGGTTGGACCAGATGACCTCCTGAGGTCCCTTCCAACCCTGATATTCTATGATTCTGTTTCTCAGATATCCGTGTGAGACACGGACAAAAATATTAAGGGGACACCATCAACTTAAAACCCAATTTTTAAGACCTATTACCACAATTTATAACATCTGTATGAACAGAGGAATTGCAGAGGTGGATCAGACCACAGGTACATCTAACCTAGTATCCTATCACCAACAGTAGTCAATACCATGAGCTTCGGAAGAGCTGCAAAAAAACCATGATGCAGGAAGGCATAAAAAAGGGGATAATCTACCCCGGCTCACCTTTCCCCAGCCTCTAATAGTTAGAGGTTGTCTTAATCTCTGAAACCTGAGGTATTATATTTCTCCATAAACATTTACTTTTTAGAGGTTTTTACTAATATAATTCTGGATATTAATATTATTTGCATACGGGTCTAATCTCCTTCTGAAGGCTACTGAAACCTTGATCCCAGAGAGACTAGAGAAGAAAGTTCTAGGGCACCGGCTTTCAATCTGTGGTCCGCACACCCCTGCAGGTTCACTGGCTATGGCTACACTACAGAGCTTGCAGCTGCACCCCTGCTAGTGCAGACGCGCTAAGCCCATCAACTCAATTACTCCAGTCCCCATGAGCAGTAACAGCTATGTCATCGGGACAGCGCTGTCCACACCAGTGCTTATGTTGGTGTAATGTACTTCACTCAGGGGGGTAGCTTATTAGGGGTAGCGTATACTGGCAGCACTTTTAATGTGCCTTGTGTGGTGACGGCGCAGTGCCAGGAGAGAGTTCCCCCAGCGCTCTAAAAAAACACACCTCAACAAGGGGCATGACGCCCAGTGCTGGGGCACTGTTTATACTGGTGCTTTATAGCACTGCAACTTGCTGCGCTCTGGTGGTGGGGGTGGGGGGTTCACACCCCTGAGGGAGAAAGTTGCAGCGCTGTTAATTGCCACTGTAGACAAACCCTTATTCACACCAGAGTGGCATTACTTATACAGACTTAAACTGTAGCGTGTACACAGCCCCAATCGCCACCTCCACTGGAAATTTGTTAGGGGATGTGCAACTGAAAAAAGGGTGAAAACCACTGATGTAGGGAGTTCTCTGCCCCCCCCCCCCCCACCCGGCCCGTTTGCACATTTGGCAGCAGGTTTTGTCGAGGAAGTTTCACCGTTTCGCCTGTTGTTCAAGCAGATCTTCACCCGGACAGGGGCAGGCTTTAGAGTCAGAAAAACAGGCCTGAACACGCCCCCCCCCCCGCCAAACCGCCGTTCTAGAAGAAACTCCGTCGCTCTGTCAGGTTCACGCACAAAGTTTAAAGGGGTTTCAGCAACCGTGTTCCCAGCCTGAGCGCCCCCTCCCCCGCCGACGTGGGCCCGGCCAGGAGGGAAGCGCCCAGGCGGCTGGGGGGGGACATGAGGCGGAGCAGAGGCAGCGGTTCCCCTGCCGCAGACACGCCTGTCCAGGTCCTGGAGGGGGAGCACGGGGGTGTTTTCCGTGCAGCGCCCCCCACGCGGGAGCAGAGACTGCGCCCCACCCCCTACCCGCGGAGAAAGGGCCAGGATCCCGCTGCGGGCAGCGGCGGGCGGGGGCCGCTCTTGTCTCACCTCGGGGAGGCTCCGGCCCGCGCTCAGGCTGTAGATCTTCACCTCGTTGAGGCTGGAGACCTGCATGGCCGCCGCCTTCTCTGACTGCCGGCCCGCGCCTCTCGCTTTGCTGGCGGGTGGCCGGCCAAGCGGAAGTCAGCGCACGCGACGGGATCAGCGACCCGGAACGAATCCCTCGCGCCGGGACTTCCGGCTGCCCTTTGATCCGGTAGTGTCGAGTGACCCCCTCCCGCGCGCCGAGGGGGCGGAAAGTAGCCGTTAGGTGCTGGTCCTCCAGACTCCTCCTTCCAGCCCGGCTCTCCCGGGGAGGCCTAGTGGCGGCTTGTGCCTCGGAGCGCGGGTCAGGACCCGCCCCTCCAGCGGCTGTCTGGCGCCTGCAGCGCGGGCCGGGGCCCTGAGCCGCTGGTTGTGGCTAGAGCCGCTCCGCCGAGCTGGGGCTGGCTGAGACCGGAGGGCGGGGAGGGCGCTAGAGGAGTCAGAGCCGGAGCGGGGGAAGCCCGCTAATGGGAGGGGGGCCCGCGGGCGGGAACTGAGAGCGCAACAGCTGGAGCGAAGCAGGGGGTACAAGTCACTGGGATCAGAGTGGAGGCGCCTGCAGCCCCAGGGGGCGAGTCAGGAAGCGGCAGCGGGATAAAGAGCGCGCCTGTCTCCTTATTTGCACTGCTGCAGGGCCAGTGAGCCCCAGTCACGGCCCAGCACCCCCGTGTGCTAGGGGCTGTACAAATGCACACAGACCAAGAGCATGGACCCTGCCATACAGAGTTTACAGTCTAAGAGGAAATGACAGATAGGACGCAAGGAGATAGCGTTGCTCAGCGGCCTCAGGCCGCTAACAGCTTTACTGTTGTCAGGGGGTTTTTTTAGGTATCACAGAACAGGAAAATTTTAAGAGGGATAATGAATTAGACTTGTGGATATTTACAGGTAGCTCTTCACAAGTGTGAGGGGCAGGGTGGATTAAAGCACACAGTAACTTGTTTGAAAAACTTAACAAGTGAGGGGAGGGGTAGCTCAGTGGTTTGAGCATTGGCCTGCTAAACCCAGGGTTGTAAGTTCAAGCCTTGGGGGGATTGGGGGCAAAAATTGGGGATTGGTCCTGCTTTGAGCAGGGGGTTGGACTAGATGATCTCCTGAGGTCCCTTCCAACCCTGATATTCTATGATTCTATGTCAAGCTGTGGAGGCTGACATCATGAGCTGATTGAAGTGAATGAGAGATGATAGGGTGCTGATTAGCTGTTTGATACAGCAGAGAAGACCAAGCCATTGTAAGGATGCAAAAGGATGGTGAGATGGTCAAAGCAGTAGGTTAGGAAAATGTTCTTTGCAGAACCATTCTGAACGGATATGAGCATGGCAAGGTTATGTTTGTCAAGGCCAGAGAGAAGTATGTTGCAGGAACACCCTCAGAAAGTTGATGGGAGGATGAGGAGGATCTTCCAAAGTACCCACTGAAGGAACAGTTAGATAAGAGGAGAACATACTAATGGAAATTTGACACCTGAACAAAGTGTCTTCAAGAGTTTAAACAGCAAGCCAAGCACAGGGAGGAAAGAGATCAGAATACCTGACATGCAAATTGCTAGAAATCAGAGGTCAAATTGTGTGTGGGCGATGTTACTTTCCCAGTGTTCAGTTTCTACAATTCCAGCTCTACCCCTTCCTGATACTATAACAAAATACTGCTGACAGTAGAGCCTGCAGAACTCCATAGTGCAACTTCCTTTTCTTTCTTGTGTGCTTTGATCACTGGTGAACTTGTTAATACCGTAATTATGCTTCAGAGTTAACACCTAGTGAGATAAATGGAGCAGTTCACACTTTTCTGTGACCTGTTGTTTCAGGTTGTCTGTTAACCTTCAAAAATGTAACCTGATGTAATCTTGCAACCATAAGGTTTAATTTAAAAAAAAAAAAAGTTACATCCAGGAGCACAGGTTGGCAACCAGAGGTGGTTGATCCGGCTCCAATTCACTCCTGCAGGAAATAAAGCGACACGGTATTGTAAAGATGTAAGACTTAAGCCAAGTGTACACTACAAAATTAAATTCATCTAATTTATGTCGGCATACAGGTACCGCAGTAATTACATTTCTTGGGCATGTCTACACTTTGCTTCTTGTGTTGGCGGGTGTGCATCCTCACCAGGAGCACTTGTATCAATTGTACTGTTGGTGTGGGGCATTATAGGATGACTCCTGAAGGCCAGTAACGGTCGATATAAGCAATGCAGTGTCTACACTGACTCTGCATCAACCTAGCCGCATCAACCTTGACTCTATGCCGCTCGTGGAGGTTGAGTTACTACATCCGATGAAGTGAGCTGTAGCTCACGAAAGCTTATGCTCAAATAAATTGGTTAGTCTCTAAGGTGCCACAAGTACTCCTTTTCTTTTTACATTGGTATAGCAGGGCAATTATATCAGCAGGAGTGAAATTTAACTGTTGACACTTACATAGGTCAATGTAAGCTGCCTTGCGTTGCTCTAACTCTGTAGTGTAGACCAGACCTTAGGGCTTGTCCACAAGGGGTATAAGTATATTAGTATACCTCTCCATGTGAACACGCTTATTCCAAAATAAGCATGCATGTGGGGAGTTACACCAGTATAATTATGCTGGTAAAATTCCCCATGTAGACATTCCCTGCCATATTCATCTCAATAGTGATAAAGACTCCTAATGAGGAGTCTAATCTTCAGGGTATTTCTCTTTCAATAAACAGCTTACCATGATGACATGTAATTAGGATATCTGAATGCACAAGTGAACTATTGTCATGTGAAAGATCTTTTTTATGTTATTAAGGTTAGTATATGCCCCTGCCCATAGAACATATTTAAAAATGCAGTTCAGTCCTCTCCACAGAACAAGTTTGATACCCAGAATGTCCAATCACTGCTAGCATTCAGGTGCATGAATTCAAGTTTGCAATCACGTTTAATAGCACTGGAAAAAAGCCTGCTGCTGGTACTAAAATGTGCTGTTGTATTTCAGTCTTTTGAAGCTCCTATACTAGGCTGATCTTGAAAACAGAGGTCTCTGATCTACCTGAGTGCAGACGCATCCACGTAGAAATATATGAAAAGTAAAGTTGGTTCTTGCTAAATTCTTGACTGAAAAGAAGCTCTTCAAAGTGTTCAGGAGTTGATGTGAAGATTAGTCTAATCTAGGGTTATTTGCCATCTAGGGAAATATTTAGGGCCTGATCATTCCCATATTTGTGTCATTCAGTAGAACAAAAGGGTGTACCGTATGCCAAAATAGGACAGCTATCATGATGCCTCCAGGCAAAGCAGTGTACCCAGTGTGGCTATCAAATAGTTTGCTAAGACTGTAACATAATTATAACATAGGTATTCTCCCATCTACACAGACAAGTCCAAAATGTAACAACATAAGCCCCTTTAAATTAATGCTCTAACACCAATTAATGTCCAAGATCTGACCTAATAAGACTGGTTAGTCCCTTTTGAAGTCTTTTATTCCAACATTTCCGCCTGAGGAAAATGATCCTAAAAAAGATGAGGGAGGAAACATAGTTTTATGAACAGTGTTTGAGTAGGAGTAGGGAGACCTCTCTTCCTATTTCTGCCACAAACATGCCTGAGCTTGGCCAAGTTTACTACTCTCTCTGCCTCAGTTGCTCTTCTGCAAAATGGAGATAATTCCTTCTTCCCACTCTTTGTCATGTCTATTTAGACTGAGTTCTCTGGGACAGGAATTGTCTCTAATGTATATGAAGCACCTAACATATTTTGTTCTGAGTCAGAATTAGGGTCTTAAATGCTATTGTAATACTATCACTAAGGGCTATTTACACACAAAACTTGTACTGATTTAATTATGCTGGATAGTTAAAGCAGTACACCACACTTTGCTATGTCTATACTTAGAAGGATACAGCTGAAGCTGCGCAGCTTTAGTGTTTCAGCATAGATACTAAAGTGATGGGAGGAGTATTCCTGTCGTAGGTAACCCACCTCCATGAGAGGCAGTAGCTTGGTCGATGGAAGAATTCTTCCATTGACCTAGCACTGTCTACACTGAAGGTTAGGTCAGTTTAACTACATCTCAGGAAGGTTGATTTTTCTACATCCTGAGAGACATAGCTATCCCAATATAAATCTATGGTACGCCCATATCTTGAATACTGCATGCAGATGTGGTCGCCCTGTGATGGGTTGGATCACAGAAACCCCCTGGGGGCTGCCAACTGGTGTGCCAAGACTACTTCTGCCCCTGCTTTTCCTGCCAGCTTGGGACTCCAGCACCCTGTCTTGTTGAGCCAGACACATCAGTCTGCTCCAACACAGACCCAGGGTCTGAACCATGTGCCCCAAAGGTGCCAGCTTAAACTGAAAGCAGCTTAAGAGGTGTTCCTGTCTTTAACACTCAGATGCCCAACTCCCAATGGGGTCCAAACCCCAAATAAATCCATTTTACCGTGTATAAAGCTTATACAGGATAAACTCATAAATTGTTCGCCCTCTATAACACTGATAGAGAGATATGCACAGCTGTTTGCCCCCCACCCCCCCAGGTATTAATACATACTCTGGGTTAATTAATAAGTAAAAAGTGATTTTATTAAATACAGAAAGTAGGATTTAAGTGGTTCCAAGTAATAGCAGACAGAACAAAGTGAATTACCAAACAAAATAAAATAGAACACGCAAGTCTATGTCTAATACAGTAAGAAAACTGAATGCAGATAAAAATCTCATCCTCAGAGGAATTCCAGTAAGCTTCCTTTTACAGACTAGTCTCCTTCTAGTCTGGGTCCAGCAATCATTCACACCCCCTGTAGTTACTGTCCTTTGTTCCAGTTTCTTTCAGGTATCCTTGGGGGTGGAGAGGCTATCTCTTTAGCCAGCTGAAGACAAAATGGAGGGGTCTCCCATGGGCTTAAATAGACTTTCTCTTGTGGGTGGAGACTCCCTCCTCTCTCCTATGCAAAGTCCAGCTTCAAGATGGAGTTTTGGAGTCACATGGGCAAGTCCCATGTCCATGCATGACTCCGTTTTTTATAGGTAGCAGCCACGGGTCACATGCTACCTTGAACATCCTCAGGTAGACTTCTTATGTGGATTGGAGCCTTCCAAGATCCATTGTCTCTTAAGTGCTTCTTGATTCGGCACTTAATTTGCACATTCCTTTCTCA